TTTTATTAAAAGTTCTGTTTTGTTGAGATATTCCTGCACCACACCTAGATCACGCACCCTGTCAGTACACTGCACAGAGTGCATACACACCAGCCAAAACATTGGTAAACCCAAGATTTTTCAAAAAACAGTTTTTCAGCCAAACACCCATGGGAACACAAAACCGGACATATGATACAATGTTAGGACTAACACATTTTAAAGGTGCAATTCTGTCCCTGCTCCCCCATTCTCGTACACTGTCAGGCAGGATAAGATTGAATTAAAGCAAATACCAGATATTAAACTCTGACAAACCACAGACGGAATGAGAATTTAAAAACTAATGACCCTGTCATGAAAACAGGACAAATAAAAACTCCGTATTCAATCAATCATCAGGACAGTTGGGATTAGGACTTTTCCATTATAAAGACAGAGGCCAAAAGATAAGAGAACAGGACGGGAATGATGAGAATTTCCTATCCTAGACCAGGGACTGATCAACCTTCCTGGGGCACAGACTGCTCCCTGGTAAGAGATGGACTTTGATACCATGACCCCTCTTGCATAGCTTCTTGCTCCACAAACACATACCAAGATGTGGTTAACCAAGATGATCGCTTAGGGAAATTAATAATTTAATTGATGACTGACCACTAAAAGACGTTGATCCTTAGCAAAGTTTTCATATATTAATGGAACACAAATAAGGCCTAATCACAAAACAAATATTCAACAGACAACATGTAGGAAGTCCAAACACCAGCCCCAGAGGCTTTGGGGCATCCTTTTTTAAAAAGATAGCGAGAGCCTCTCTAAGCTCCATTTTGCAGCTGGGCATTTTAGGCAGCACAACCCCAATTACAGAGAAAACAGGAGTCTATTGTGGGACGAAGGTAGAATCAGGAGCTGGGATTGGGGATGTCCTTAGGGCAAAAAAAGCACATTTTTACCCTTTCGAAGTATAAAACGAGCTGAAAAGGCACACATGGTGATCCATACAGAGAACAGGAGTTTAGGAGAGGGAACATTCTAAGACCACGTTCAACATATTGCCACAGGGTTCCTGTCTACTTTCCACCTTGCAAAGAGCAAATCCACCTGGGACAAGTAAGCAAGTTTGAGCTCTGTCACCAAGGTACAAGATGGAGACCTGAGCCAAAACTCAGTGGAGCCAGCAGAAATGCAAGACCCCTGGCAGGGTTTCTGGCTTTGGATGATGCCCTGGGGTACAAAATGGAGGGGGGGTTGTTCTTTCAAGACTGCACCACAGGTCCCTTTATTTATAGGGTGCACTGTACTACTGAGGCCCTCTCACACAGACAGAAGCAGTAGCAAAAGCAAGGGCTTTAAGCTGAAATGAAAGAAAATACTTAGAAACACCTCCATGAGAGGGATTTCCACGTGTGAGGCAAATTAAAGCCAAAATTATTTGGGTTTTTTGTTTTGTTTTTTGGGGCAGGGGGGTTTTTTGGTGGTTTTTTTGGGGAGTTGGGTTTTTTTTGTTGTTGCTGTTTTGTTTTTTTTTTTTTTTAAAAGAGGATTTGGTTGTGAAGGTGGCAACAAGAATTTTGCTCCAGCCTCAGACTCTCCTTTTCATAAGAAGCCTGTCGCTTGGCTGCGCATACCACCCCTGGCACGGGTGCTGTCTGAAGGCAGCCCAGAAGAGGGGTGCGATAGCCTGGCGAGGCAGTGCTCCAGCACTGGGTATGACTGGCTGCTGGCATAAAGTTCACGGCTTCAGGCCACTGTAGGACTTCCATACAGTCTTTTGCTCATCAACTCAGGGTCTGAGTTCTCTTAAACAAAAACCACCCTTATTTGGGTAGTTGAGGACAGCAAGGACATACATGAATCCTTGACTGGAAACACAGTTTCTCCCTGAAATACTGCAAGAAAGAAGAGACAGCCCAGTGCTGCCTTTCTCTTATAAGGCTGAAAAATGGTAACGGGAGACCCAAAGGCCTTCTAAGCCCTCTTCCAGTTGGGAACGGTGGAAAAGACTTCAGTTGGTGCCACACCGAGGACCGAGACAGAGCTCTGAATTCTGGTTTTGGGGCCACTCGCTGCTTGAGAGAAGGGATAGAGGGTATTTCTGGATGAAAGTTGTGGAGTACTTGCCTGTTTTCTGTTAGTTTCATGACTGTAGTGCCACGTGAAGAAAAAACGATGAAAGACATCCGCAACATTGGACTGAAACAGAAGAACAAGCCAGATCCACGTCACAGGCACACATTACTTCAGCAGATTTTCTTTTGCTAAGAAGCAGTGAATGAAAAAATTATATACATAGCAAATTAAAATATCATCTTAAGAAAACTTTACCTTATGAACTTCTCAGCTAGGCTTTCCACAAAAGAGTAAATCTCTGTCCAATGATTTCTGACACTTCCAGACCTGCATACAAAACATAATTGATTACATTCATCTTATTTCACAGCAAAATTCCTTGTTCCACTCTGAATTTTAAGCCTGGGCTACTCCAAAGGTGGTTAGGGACACAACTTCCCTGAAGGTCTATGGACACGAGGCAGCTAACTCTGTTGAGGCTTCTACAGCAGTTGTGTTGGAAGCTGTAACAGGAACCATCATGACAAAACCCACTGACCCAAAGAGAAGTAGAAATAGGTCTGAAATAGTTTACCAGACAATTTCGAAACAAGTTCAGTAACTCTTCCATCTGCTTTTGTTCCTTTTAGAACATAAAATATAAATATTTTCTTCTAGTTTAATTCATCTTACTTGACTTCACTATATCATCTGCTAACAGCTTATTTACTTTCCTAGAGCAGCTCTGCCCTTGCAGCCACACAGAAAGTCTTGACTGATCTATTCTCCCAGAATGCGTGGGAGAATGTTTCCATGAATTACTGTTTGTTTCAAGAGAGAAGACTTTTGAAGTAATTCCGAAGAGAAAGGCAGTGCTCGTAGCTAATTCGCTGGACTAGCATTCTGGACAGTCAATCCCTGGCTCCATTACAGATTTCTTGTGAAAACCTGGGCAACTTAGTTACATGCACAGACTTACATATTCGTGCTGCCGTTCCCAATATATAAAACTGCATTACTGGCGCTCCCTGGCTTTTTTCTGCTTAGTCTTACATTCTCAGGGACCCCCACAGTCTGGTGGGACTCAGATCTCAAACAGAGCCTTGCACGCAGCAACTCTACAGTAAATGATAGGTGATTTCTACCGCGTGGATCTATGCCATACACTTTCAAGCCTTTAAATAGGCTACAAAGCACGAGAAGACAACGATTTTAAAAACCCTCCCTAGGACTGCGGTGTTTATGAGAGAATGGCTCATTCGCCTTCCTTGACAGGCAAACTCATGTATCGGGTGTCTTAGGCAGAAAGATAAATAAAACAGCAGCACATACAGAAGGATCGCAGGGGCTTAGACACAGAACTAAAAAATTTCTGAAATTTAACTACTGTAAAGCAGTAGGTTTCCTCTAACTGCTGTTAGACATTTTTCTGTGTAAAAAGATTAAAAAAAGGGGACAAAATGATCCCATGTTACAATTCTCAGTTCTGCTACAGGCTTTCCAAGCGACCCTATGCCAGTCACCTCTGCCCCTGTACACGAGGTAGAGATCAGCGTACCGAAGCCCACATAACATGGCACTGCCTGCCCTGCAACAGTGCTGGTGGAGTGGAGGAGAAGAGCGAAGATAAAGAGACAAGGACCAAAAGGAGACCCCTGAAGTACATAAGCTAGGATAAGCTTGCTTGTGTAACCCTGTGCTTTCACGCTGCTCTTCTGGAGAGCTGGCGATTCATTCACAGAACAAACTGGTTATCAAAGAGTGAAGAAATTGCCAGGCACTGAGGGAGGGCAACAAAGCACCAGAGACTGCTCGAACCAAGGATCTGGATCCTCTGCAGTCTCTGATTTATAGGTGTTAGGCAACGGATGTGACATGATTATATTTTCCTGAACAGCACCAATGAAAGGTGCCAGCACTATTAGCAAATGAACCCTTTTCACATCGTTAAAAAATAATCCATGCAGATGTGAGGTATGTACTTTAAGCACTGCTTTTCCAGAAGGGAACTGAGGCACTCCAACACTTATAATTCTGAAAGTCCCAGACTAAATCTCTAAGCATGCTAAACTCAAAACAGATTTTCCTTTAATCTATGCAAGATGCATTTACAGCTCCCAATTTTTTTTTTTTTAATTAATTTTTTTTAATTCTCCCCCCCCCCCCCCCCCCCCCCCTCTTTTTTTTTTTTCTCTTACTTAAGACCAATTCCGCTAATTTCCAATGGAGTCACTTCCCTATATAGAATAGCCACAGTTTCTTACTTGGAAAAGACTGACCTATTTTGGATGAGGTATCAAATTTCTACTGCCAGCTGCAGAGGCACTGATGCAATCCAAAAAAGAAAGTAGCAACGAATTTTCTTTATAACAGCAACAAATCATTTCCAGTACCTTCTTAGGACTGTCAGAATTACTTTTTTTTCCCCCCCCCCTTTTATTTATCTACCCCTCAGGCAAAGAACAGCTTGGCAAAACAGCCTAGACACTGAAAATTCAAGAAAATCATAACCTGCTAATGGTGGAAAAACATGAAGACTTTTAAAGTGAAAATGTACGGGTAAACTTAATACTGTGCACTTCCATGTACTTTGACTACAATGAAACACCCCTTCTTGGAAAGGGTACAGCCAGTGAGACTAAAAGTAACTAGAATTGGCTGTAATAAATCTATAGATGCCCACCTCTGAAAAGCCAGGGAGGTCTCTGCCACGGGCTAGTCCTCACAAGAAGCATACTGTGCTCCGAGAGCACCTGGCTCTACACCACTGAGCTACAACCCTGCTGAGGAGAGGCCCTTCAGCATGGCGGAGGGCCTCCTCCTCCCCTAGGAGGAATTCTGCACCCACATGTTGCTTATCAGCTGGGAAGTGACAAGGCTGGACAAGCCATACTAGCAAGAAAACCGAACTGTTTCAAAAGAGTACCAGTGAAGTGGTCGGCACTTAATCACTTTCCCCACCACATCCCTCAAAAGACCAGCCGTGTCACCGCCCACTGCAAATGATGCCCAAGTGCCACTGATGGTGGTCACGTCAAACCCCTCATGAACACCAGTGGGGGTGGCCTGGCTTATAGAAGAACCTGACTTCCCACCCCTCTCCCCCAAACCCGCCTCTAAATATCCCTGTTTGTAAAGTCTATTTATTTGCTGTTTCGTGTGTGTGTGTGTGTGTGTGTGTGTGTGTGTGTTTTGGAGACTTCTGGGGTTTCTCCTGATATAGTTTCATCTGTTGCCCCAGAGGCCTGAACCCACAAAACCAGTAACGGCAGATTAAACAAAAATTTACAACAATAAAATGTTTGCTAAACTATATACTAAGTTGCCAAATACTACTCCCAACACTGACAAACAGAAGCTGCCCAACACTATTGAAAATACTGAGGCATTTCACTGCTTTTGGGATCTTATTTTTCACACTGCAGAATCACTTTTGCTGGCAGCATAAACTAACTTGCCGCCCTTCATGGCTAGATCAGACTGGAAGGTTTTTGCCTGGGTTTCCCGTGGCAAGTGGGAGGTTCCAAGCATACTCTAAACTCCTTTCTGACCATGGCCGATACTTGAAAGCCATACTCATTTTTAACTCCACAGTTACCGAGCCTAGAGAAAGCACAACGTCTTTCAGTGATGCTCTACACCACAGGTTATTCTTGGACATGCACACAGCATGATTTTTACAGCAGTTTCGGTGCTTTTGTTGTTTCCCTTAGAAAGTTACAATAACTAAGAACAAACAGCTCCTGAATCAGCGTACCTGTGCTAACAGGAGCCTCAGACAAAGCTGGCATGTTGTCTCGAATTGCCACCAGTAAATAACCACAAACAGATTCCTTGCCTGGCCTCTTTGGCCATCAAACGATACACTCCTGTAAGATTTCAGAGGAACTGTGAAGACTTCTAAATAATGTGGAAAGAATAAACGAAGCACAACAAAAGAGCAGCACTGTGCAGAAAAATCACTGGGCACGAGACACACTCGTCCACCCTCACCAGTAACTGGAGGAAGCCATGGGGAAGCGATGCAGCCAGGGAACCCTACATACCCTGCTGCGGAGGTTTGTACCAGTGAATCCACCAAGCCAGAGCTGTGGCTGTCTGCAAAGAAAGACGATGTTACGGCTGGACCTGTCTCGTTGGCTCATGCCTTAGAGATTTCCTGCTTTTCAGGTCATCAGCTACCTGGTTCAACTCCTCACATCAATCAAAATGGCCACCACCCCCCAGCCGAGCCCCGGGCTCCCTCCCTGCACTCTCCCCGCTGAAGAAGCCCCGTGAGCCTGACGTTCTCTGCAAAGGACCAAGCCCCACAAGCCAAAGACCTCTGTGGGTAGTGACCCACAGCTTACAAGCAGTTCGTGTGCCTTTCGGAGTCAAGCGGGACGGTGAGGTTTCAGCCCTCGGAGGTTACATAATTCTTACGGCCAAGGAAAACGCAAAGCAGTAAGAAGCTGCTGTGGGTAGCCGGAGCGCCACAGAAAATATTTCAGGGCCTGTTTCTGCTGCCGGTTCCACTGGGGTGAACCTGGAGCGGGTCCAGAGAAATAGCAGAATTTCCCCAGGTTCATACCTATGCAATTGGGATCAGAATTAGGCCCAAGTGAAGTGAAAAAACCCACAGGAGCTATTTGTTGTGAGCGTGCTCCCCGCTCCACGAGCTCTGTTCCCATTACACATGAGACAAAGAGAAGAGTCAGCAAACCACAACATAGGAAGGAATGTGCTGCCGGCCTCATCGGGACTCAGCTTGGAGGAGCAGCTGCTGCTGCAGCTCCTGCTTCTGCTGTTTTCCTGAATTTCACATTGCTACTGCTTGATGGGAGGGGAAAAGAGGCGGTCAGTGAGTATTTCTGGGGGTGGAAGGAAGTGATGTGATTGCAAGGCTTGATTCTGCCCCTGCTTACTTTGGAGTGACTCCTTCTAGCTTAGCGGAGCTCTCTGTCAGTATAAAAACAGTGAGCATGTTAGAGTCCTATCTGCCTCAATCTGTGGGATTTCACTGCTGTTTGAGAAGACAACAAAGCGCGAGACAGGCTGGAAACCTCCTCTTCTTTCCTAACAGGCTCCCAGAGGCAGTGGAAGCTGGAACCCAGAGAAATCAAGCAGCACAACCCTGGCATACGGGCTGCCACTTTCAGCCCAGTTACTTCAGCAGGCAAAAACCAGGAGGGTCAGTTGTAACGTGTCTGTCCTAGGACACGTGTGATTCACAGTTACAGCTAAATTCACTGTCAGAAGCCTGTACAGATCAATCTGGTGCAATATACATCAGACCTGCAGTTTAGCAGTGAAAGTTAATACTCCAGCACTACCCAAACAGTAAATATTCTTATTACCACGTACACAGA